TTTATGAGAATAGCTCCTTGGCTATCTAGGTTTATGGTTAATTACATTTTAATTTAATAGTTGATATAAAATTTTAGTTTGAATTGAATATATAGTGTGTATTATGTTTTCGATATTATATATATATGATCTTTAGCCCCATTTAATATGATTTTGTGATGTTATTATCGTATTTGAATTAAAGCCGCCGCATATAATATCAAATGAGAACTTAGTGTATATCCTATTCAACATATATACACCAATACCTATCCATATTGTAAATGGCACTAGCTGTGCGATGAACTCAACCGAGAGGATGTACTTTTTGATACAAGAATCATGTTTTACCCACTCGATTACTCTATTGGGTGACGGCTCAAAGTGTCGATTACAGTATTCTGCTATATATCGAAATGTGTGACTCACTACTGCTACACAAATATAAGAAAATAAAGTTATAATTAATAGTAAATGTGTAACTTTTGATGTAATGATAATCATTTAATTGGTCTTAACAGACATCTTTTGAAACGATTACATAAAAATAGTTATAGTTGAAAATATTTGTATTTGCTACTTTCTAAAAAAAGTGATAAAATATGACATATCAAGGTCTAGAAATTTTCATAAAACACTAAACTAAGAATATTAATTGAACTATGTGGTCTAATGGTATCCGGGTTGGATTTCCATTTGGAAGATTATGAGTTCAAGCCTCAGTGGAGGCGTTATTGGTTTTTTGTGTTTTAATAGGTTGAGAAAGTATATGAACAGATACTACAATGTAATAGAGCCAGTAACTTTCAAAAAAAAAAAAAAGAATATTAATTGACAATAACTCAAAATAAAGTATATTAAAAAAAAAAAAAAAAAAAAAACAATGTGGGCACAAAAGTGACATGTACACATGCATACAAGTGATACATACAACATTTGTACATGGGATATGATATATATTATTAAAGCAAGATTTTACACACAAAAAGCAAGATTTCATATGGGATTTCTGGTTTGGCCTTTACTCAACCTTCCACTCCCTCCCTGACTGCTGCATTTATTGGACAATATAATGCCAACACCCCCATACATATACTCACATGCATACATACAATCTATACATACATACATAATAAAAAAAAAAAAAAAGAGTAGAATAAGAATATATATACTCTAGTCCCCTTTTTGTTTACTGGTCTGTTCTAAGTTATAAATATAAATATATACGTGAGTGAATTGACTATTCCTATTCCTGTGTTTTCTCCCTGAACACCCTATTCTCTTTTTCTGTCACCAAACACAATGACAGAAGGGTAGGAGAGTAGTATTTAGTAATGTTAAGGCTACTCCTTCCATTCCTCTTCTTGGAGTTTGGCACGCACGCTTCCCTACATAAATAAATATATATATATATATATATATTATTGTATGTATATGTAGAGAGAGAGAGAGAGAGAGAGAGAGGGGACTGAGAAAACAACAAATCAAAGGAACATCTCCTTATACATCTCATCCTTAATAATTACATGCCTTCTGTCCCCCTTGCTACTACTACCCATTTCGTACCACCCATTACTATGCTGCCCCACATATATGCTGCTATGCTGCTGTCAATTTTTTTATTTTATTTATTTATTTATTTTGGTTTGGTCAAAGTAATTGAGAATGGTGTTCAATTCTCCACATATAATTTTGTGTAAATAATTAAGATTAGTCTTAGGAGGCAGGGTAGATCTTTAGCAGTAAATGCAATCTTCTGCAGAGACCACTTTAATTTAATTAGGAATTATTGTAGGTTAACACAATTTTCACTAATAATGCTGTGTATATTACTATAGTCTAAGTTAAAATAATAATACTTCCTTTAACAATCCTATTGAGTCAAGGTGTGGGACCTTTTGAAGTCACAGATTTTACATTTTGTAGTCAAATTATCACATTGTCTTTGGCTCGATGAGCCATTGCCCTAATCTTTCTGTGCTCGGTCCTGACCTGATCACTAGTGCAAGACCCCGGGCACGAATACTTGGCATCCAAATTGATTCCAATAAGAAACTAGCTAGTCAGATACATCCTTATACGTGTATGTCTCTCCTTAGTTGACCTGATTACCGAGTGCATGGAGGCACGCGCGCGATCATGCCAACCACTCGACATGTGCCCCTTCAAATCCCCTATAAATACTCCGGGGAACACTTGTAAAGGGGGACCTTTTGGCAATTCCTGTATAGTTATACTTAGCTCGGGAACCTCTGACCTCAGGCCATAAACCGAGCTTAAGACCTTAAACCAACAAGCAAACCACATAAGGACCGAAGCCCGATCCGATCAAGTACTTCATACGTATTCGTAATATAAGCCCTGTATTTACTACATCACATCCTATATACAAATACATGTTTAATCTTATTTAAAAAAAATAAATAAAAATTACTATATACAACAATTATTAATTTAATTTTGAGAAAATTGCACTTTTCATCCCTAAGTTATAGAATAATTTGGAATTTGTCCCATGAGTGTTGATCATGCTGACTTTTCGTCCCTGAGTTATATATACTAAAATTGTAAATTTCGTTCCTAATGTTTTATTAGTAAATGGGCAAAAAGTGCAACGTCAATATAACTTAGGGACGAAAAGTTAGTATGACCAACACCTAAAGACAAATATTACAATTACCCTATAACTTAAGGACGAAAAGTACAATTTTTCTTTTAATTTTTATGTGTACTATCTTCTTTTAATTACGAGGTATGTACGACGGCTATTCATATAACCGTTGTATATATACTTTGGCCATTTATTTATTTATGATAACATTTAAGATATATATGACATATATTTTAGCCCACTCACTCCACCGCCATATATAATTATTATTGCTATTTTCTTTAAAATAAATATATACTGCGATTTTTGAAAAATCACCATATATATTTTTTATTTACTCTATACTTAAAAAATTGTTGTATATTTGTAAAAATAACTGTCGTAGTGTATACTTGCATTTTGTGGGGGCGGTTACACTCGAATTTTTTTTATTGATTACATTATTGTATTATAAAACATCATAAATTTTTTTTATCAAATTTATATTTGTATTGAGTGGAACAAGCTAAGCTATTTAATGATCCCCTTGACCTTTGTGGATTGATTTAATAAGTTAATGAAAGATATATAATTTATGAATTGAAGTAAATAATATATTGTTAGAGCCTGGATTGATTTCAATACCATGAGTCATGAGCTGAATGGTTTGAGTTCACCCCAAGCAAAGCTGGTGTGTTAGGTTACTTGGGTTTGCTTCCTGATTTGAGATTATAATATTTGAGTAGGTCAATTATCAAATATTATCGACTTTTATACAATTTACGCAATTGTACGGTCTAACCCATAAAAATTTCAAGACAAAGACTAATGGCGAATATATGCGTCACCCAAGGAGGGGAGTAGAGGGGAGATAGATCATGGGATCAAAGACTTGTATATATTATCTACTAGAGCTAGCGTAGCTAGAGTACGGAATAGATGTATATTATGTATAAATAATGAAATTTAACATTCTCGAGACATAAAAATATATTTTGATAGTAAAAATATTCTGATATGTCAATTCAAATTCTCGATCTATTTATTCTACACTTAATAAATTTATTATGAGATTTAGCATCATCAAATTTATTGTAATTCTCATGTCTAATCTTCACTAAAGTCTAGAAAAGTAGGTGTTGGGTGTGGTGCTTAGCTTGTGGATCCCAAGTTAAAGAAATGTGTCCTCTAGGAATTGAAGTTTGAGTAGCCCCAAACTAAAGAAGTCAACTCTTCTCAATTAAAGAATCCCATGCAAACCCTAGTTTAGGAACACTCCATGAATTGAATATCTGCAGAACTACCATGCATGCATGCATGCACCATATATATGCACCTTGGCAACCATATATTACAACTAAACCGTTTTTTAAATATATAATTAAGATCTCAAATTTATGTCATTAATCTTTAACATTAGGCATTATATTTTTTTTTTGAAAGGAAAACATTAGGCATTATATTTATTTTGGAGAATATTGTTGAATTAAGGGCTCCAAATGAACTGGGCCATGATCTAAGCAGATTTTTGGCCCAATTCATTTTCCAAAGGGTACAACCGTAAAATCATTTGTATGGTCCATACAACCGTATAATGTACATTTAGTATATTAAAAATGTACTTTTTGTCAAACATAGTCTTAAATTAATTGCCTAATTAGATGAAGTTAAGATGCATGTAGAACTGAGCCATTACAGTTGCAATGTAGAGTTTTACCTTCTTGTGAGGTGGCTCTTTAATTTGTAGGCACGAGTCTTCTCATGTAATGAAACGATAAATTTCTCATCAATTTTGTTAGATCGGGATGTGATGTCTTTGGAGCGATAAATTTTACTTTTTGTGGACATGTAATTTTTTTTTTTTTTTTTTAAAGTGTCCACTAATTTTTTGGTAGAAGAGATTAATTACATGTAATCGAACCCTTCAATCGGGGTTGCTAACAAAGCAAAAGAGTTGGTCGTAAAGTTAAGCTATGCATGGAAACAAAAGTTAAGTAATTTGAGTGTCTGATCTCAAATTCGAGACTTGTAACATGCATTACGTACACTAATATCGCCTATCTTGTCCCATTATTTTTATATTCAATTATTAAATTTGACGGGAAAATTAGTCAAAAGTAGCATTCAAAAAAAAAAAAAAAAGTCAAAAGTAAAGCAGAATATATGCAATGTTGTTAATAATAGAGTTAATAGTACTAAAAAAAAAATACAATGCTGTTAGATTATTGATATGAAATTAAAATAACCAATACCGTATTACACTTAATTACAGGCATGACACGAAGATAATTTGATTTTTATTTAATAAATATTATCGATTCAATTACAAGATAGTATATGTTCAATATACTTTTTTCATCTATTGTGTTTGTTGTACAACAGAGTCAATACCCCACCACTAGGTTTGATCATGTGATCTTCCCTAGTTGATATAAAAATTCATAAGAAGGTGTTACCATTAGAAGTGGGTCTACTGCTGATGCTGCTGCCCCTCATGTTTGACGTTGATTTTCTTGCCGTAGCCATCCCATTTTTATTGGACTCTATTTGCTTAATCTCCTGCGATTTCATTTCCAGTAATTATACATCTTATATTAATTATTAATACGGTATGAATTCGTAGAAATTTTTGAACTTGATTGTTTGCCAATACAATATTGTACCAATCACAACTATATATGTTATTCTTTTGTTGTATTACATACTGAATAACACCTAATACAACCATATATACATATATAAGATGTTCATAGTATTGATTTACAAAAATGTTTGTAAAAAAATCACAAGGAGGTGTGACCTTAACCGACAAAATATCACAAGAAAGTAAAACCAACCTAGATTTTCAGAATGGTAGGGATACGAACTTTGAGTGTGACCCTAGCCGACCACTCAGACCAAGAAGCTAATTTAAGATTTGGGTAACTCATGAAAAATCAAACTTAGAATCTTGTGGTTAATAAGCTAACTCAATTTTAATTTTCTGACTAGTAGATCATTCAGACCAAGAAGCTAAGGTTAATAGGTAACTATCATGAAAAGTCAAACTTAGAATCTTGTGATTAATAAGTCAATTTTGGGTTGGTCTAATATAACATATATACTCATTTTCATTGATGGGCAGGGTAGAAAAGTTAAGAATTTATATATATAGTTGGAGTAATTGATGGATGAAGTTTACCTACCATGTGTTTGAGAGCCATGTTGAGGGAATTTCTAGACATCATTCTTCCAAAACCAGAGCTCTCATTAATGGAGGAGCCGTTCATCAGTTTCCCAGCTTTGTTATCATTATTAATCCCTTCCTGGATTGAGGAAGCCTTTCTGGCGTTGAGAAACTTGTCCACCATTCTACTCCCCAAAACCTGCGGATTCCCATGTTGCATAATCCTAGTAACCTTGGCTTCTTTGTTTCCGTTTCCTTCACTAACCTGCGGTGTTTTCCGGCCACGACCCACACTCGGGGAGCACGACTGTCTCCTCGTCCGGGACACCGACGATGGTCTTTGATTTGGGATAATCGTTTGGATTTGTTGCTTGTGTTGATGATCTGAGCGTCCCCGGGCGGCTGAAACCGATCTGTCGGTCCTCAGATTCGGCGGCGTTTCATCGGAAAATCCAGGGAACTGGGCGGGGATCTTGGACCTCACCAGCGGCGAAACTCCTCTGCTTCTGGGCTGCTTATTATTGGTGCCCGGAGAAGAATCCATTGGACCCAAGGATTTCGACAGGTTGGAAGCCAACAGATTCAGGTTGCTTTCTTTGTTCTTGACAATGCCGGACTTTGCAGAAGAAACACTCGACGACGACAATGTTGTGTTCCATTTTTCACCGGCCACGGCGCCGTTGTTGGATTTGTTCAACTTAAGGTTCAGCGCTGCAGGCACAACTGATGATCTTGTAGAGCTCTTTCTATGAGGTGCTGCCAGATTTGCAGGAGAAATTTTTGTGGTTTTTGGACTTGGAGATGAGGATCTTGCTGGGATTGTTCTTGTGCCCTTTGAATTGTCTGAAAACTGGATGCAACTAAAACACTGTTATATATATATATATATATATATATATATATATATAGTGATATGGAAACTGAGCGTCAGCTATTACGAGAGAGTGTGTACGTGACTCTAGTCATTATTGAGGGTGTGCAGTATGCATGGTGTAAATCTTGTCTGACCCTACTATCCTAGCAGACAAAGAACTATAAGGAGGTATACTAGTCAAAGTTATTTATAACTGATCGGCTCAAACCAAGAAGGTCAATAAGTTACCCCAATTCTGAGTCGAACTTGTAACCTTGTGATTACCAAGTCAACAGCTTAATTAATTTGACTAGGGTTGTCCCAATGCTGTTAGATTTTGACTTCATGTAAATTATTTACTTAAATTTTAGAAAAAGGAAATGGCAAATAGAGAAAGAACATACACACCCTGGAAGGGAGAAGAGGCTGAACAATGGGCAATTCCCTTTGAATGAGTAAAGCTGGAGAGTTTGCTTCCATTTCCAGTGATGGAAATAATGGTGTTGCCGGAGGAGTTTTTAACCTAATTTCAAACACAAATTATAAGTTCGATTTTGGTTTTTTTCCAAACAAAATCTTGAGTTTAAACTTGTTGAATGAAGTAACAGCATCTAATGTTATTACTATTAATATCGGGAGTGTTAAGGATGTAATATTTACGGAGTATAAATATTGTGTAGTCTAATTATTAGTTTAGACTTTTAGTTAAGAATGAATATATTCGGAGTTGTGCACTACTTACCAGTCATAATCATTCTTTCTTCCAGATGTAACTCTGTACAGTCCATAGCCTCCTCCTGCATCTTTGAATCAAAATACAAGAACATCAACTGGCAATGAAATGAAACAACAAGTCAACAACCACAAATTCAAATTCTCTCTCTATGTATATATGAATCAAACCATTGGATTCAAGTTCTTCAGAAACCGGGAGAAGAAGGCTGGCGACCTCATCCTTTTCGTGCTTGTGCATCTCGCGAAACAGAACCAAAGATTCCTCGTCTAAGTCTTGTCTAACCACTTTCCTTGCTGCATTCGTGTTTCCTCTGTTCATCATCTTCCTCTGTTTTTGTTGTTACTTTGAATCTCAGGAAGAAAACAATCAAAATACTGTGGTGGATTAGTGGCTGTACTGGGAATCTGAGATAAGAAAACAGTGTTAAGTTAAGTCTCTCTGGGAACAGAAAGATTTGGTAACAATATTGTGTGAGTTGGCCGGCAGATTCTTTGGCTCAATCCAACAGCTTCAATACAATTTCATAGCTCTGAGACGGCAACACTCACTATTTCCCATACACTTGGCACTGCATGTTTTATTCTTCAACTATTTTGCTGGCTGGCCGTCTATGTATTTCATATTTTATACTTACTTTAGAGGGATTTGGTTCAAGAATATTATAACAGTTTAAGCTGCTGATAGTTGAATTGTATATTTATGTTTATATATTATATATATACTCAACATATACCTTCACGTGTGTGAACGGACAAATAACACATGAATCATAGTCTCTTTTTAGTGGGTGAGACAATAATTCTACTAGAAGCCTAAGCTGATATAGTTAGATTGCAAATTTAGGTTTATATATTATATGCTCAACAATCATGAATGTGCTTAACAAACATTTTTTTTCGTTAACCGAATCAAACACATAAAATGAGAGAAGTTATGAGTAATATTTTTTAACCACTAGAGATGCTCTAAGATCTCACATTCTAATGTTCTCTTGCTCACATAACCTGATGGCCCCTAATCCCTTAACTTTCCTGCAAATACTATTATTAAATTTAATTTAAAATAATGTTTTTACAGGGAAGAGAGGCAGAAGGTTTTGTCTATACAAGCTGGGGGTAGTGAAAGGTAAAAATTGAGACAGTAGTGTTACAAGCAATGATCAAAGGAGTCTATTAAAATGTGCCAGAAATTGAACTTAACTGCCTAGTTTGAAAGCATCTACAAAAAGGCCCAAGCAAACACCGGCTTTCCAATAGTTCACCATCCCTACCAGAGATTGCAGCCTCGCAGTAGGAAGAGAAGGCGGTTTTCTGTACATTAGCATACCAATTCCCTCAATTGCAGCAACCACTACCCCTGCTACTAATACATCCCAATCTCCTGTTTGTCCTAGGATTGTAGCCAATGCATTTGCGGTGTAGAAACCTAGGAGGAGCAGGAATACCTTCGTGGGAAAATTTTTCCTAGCAGAATTAAGTTTCTCCAAAAGCTGTCGACCTCCTGCACTGACTATCCTGCCCAGACGAGTCCCTCCTAGACCACGATTGTCATCATTGGAGCTATCTTGGTCACCATTACTAGGCACTGCACCTGTGTCCAGAGCAAATACTATACTCGAATCACGTCTTCTGGTCCAAGAACTGTTTAAAACACTTCACCCAAGAAAAAAATAGCATTGCAGGTCATTGCAGAAACAAGATTGCTTCATAGACAATAATATTGACACAGTGTAAGCTTAGTAAAATTTTTTGTTCATTTATCTTGAAGAAAGACGAGGAGAAGGAGAAGAGGCACATTTCAAATTCATAGTTACCTGGCTTTTAGAGAAGGCAACAATCTTTCTACAAGTTTTGAAGATCGTCCAGTTGGGTGATGTCTTGTAGTCCATTTCAGGATGGGAAGAGAACCTTTTGCGAATAGACGCGACTGTACAAAGAATTCATTCTCTGCTACTGAAAAAGTCTGCAACGTGATTGTTTCCATTCTAAATATCTTGAATTGCAAAGGATATGGAAGACACTGTGACACCAGCTAACGCTAATGAGAAAACTGGAGCAAAGTGGATAACTAATTAACTGATGCAAACAGCGAAACAAGTATACTTGGTACAACTTAGCTAACCTCAAACCAAAGGCCTAAATAATTAATACATTGTAAATAAAGACTCAGTAGCCTGCCACAAGGTAAAAGGAAATGAGAATATCATCACAAAAAGCTTCCATGACAAATTTGTAGTAGTAGTTTTTGCTAATAATTTATCCTAGCATCAATCTCAACTGCCCTGCTTGAAATTTCATATAGCCAGTAAAGTAAGACACCAACTTTCATATTATAAACTTTAGGCAAAAGGGGGATAGGTTTTTTGATATAGCAATTAAAGGGACCCTAAGAGGATCTACCTCCCAGCTGGTGGTGAATTATGAGCAAAAGAACAGACTAAAATCATTCTCACTTCAACTTGAATGATTGAGCAAAATGTAGGCTATGTAGCAAAATGTGTTCCATACTTTTTGATGAATTGTGTACCTTTGATATGGCTATAATGAGTTTCCGTTTACCAAATACTAGTTTTGGGATAGTAACGGAGAAAAGTTCACTAATCTGCTAATTTATGGTACAAACTACAAGGTGAATTTTGGCTCAAGAGAAATACTAAGATCTTTGGAGACTGCCCTGATTCGGACTACTCTAACTTAAGTCTTTACATATGTTAAGCAGGAATAGCAAGCTTATTTAGTGTAATTCATTTTTACACATATTTGAGCACTCCTCTTCAACCCGTGTAATTTTTCCTTTTTATTACTGAACTTCTTTCTCCCTTTCAACTGAAAAAATCAATAGGCCACCTGTTCAAACTAATTTACACACTGGTAGAAAATACTAGGGCTACAGTAATACAAAGTAGTACACTAATAGTGCTTACATCAAACAATTGGACCTATATGAATCCCAATCATGCTAGGATCCACACAACTAAAGAATTGCAAAAAAACACAATCTTTGGAATGGACAATTCTACTTAATAAGTAACCTTCCAACATTTGATACAAATATAGTATAACTGTATAAGAGACTGATAGTCACATCAGCCAGTAATAATAACAACAATCTCTGCCAAACAAACAAAAGAATGCAAAATGAAATTCCACAAGCTGGTATATAAAACAAAATTTCCATTAACGAACAAACAAAGCCAATTGGAATCTCTATTTGGTAACTATAAATGATAAATACTCAATATGGTGGAGCTGAATGTGAAATCAATTTTATTATAGAAAATTGATCGACCAGCTTTACTACAAACAAACTGGACAAAAGAAAAAACAAACAAAAAAACTAGATTCAAACACAACCGGTTGTGCTTAACAAAAATCATGCTCTAAAAACCACTACATCTAAATATATACCTGAGTGCTATTTAAGTGTCAAAACAATTTTTGAAAAATTGTAATGACTAAGCTTGTTTGATTCCTGCGGCAAAATGAGAATCACTTAAATAATTACTCAAAATTTTAAGAAAACAACTAGATAAATGAAAGCGGAATAGAAAGAATAGTAAATCCAGGATACCGTGCAAGTGAGAGGTCTTTGGAGAAAGTGCTCATTTCGGCCAGGAACACGCACGAATCAAAAGAATCTGGAAACGGAATATTACAGCAATGCTCTGCAAGTTTGAGAAAACTTCAGAAATAGGCGGAGGAATGAAACGGAGAAGTCGCGGCGGCGACGGTGGAGGCGGTGGAAGAAAGAAAGGCCGGCGAAGCGAGTCAAGGGAAAGGGAGGGAAGTGTTCCGGACTACAGTGAAGGGAGGGGATACGGATGAGATTTCATAATTGATTAATTGTTGAGCCACACGTGGAATTTTAACGCCTCATTTCTTTATTAATTTCACACTAATATTTAGGTGTACTCGCCCCAAAAGACATACATGAATTACTTTTTATTTCTGAATAATATGTCTATTATTTTCTTTCTTTTCATCCCTTATAAAATTTTTAGTTAATCCAATTTTGATTCCTCGACTATTATGTTTTATTATTATTATTATTATTATTATTTATTCTTAAGTTCAATTTGATTGGATTTACACATCTAGTTATTGAATTTTTTTTCTTATAAAAGATTAAAATAGAATTATTTTTAGCCAATTGCACGCAAAACATATTTTCAATAATTAAGAGATTAAATCCCTGTCAATTTTAAACTTAAAGAACTAATAGTGAAAAAAAAAAATAAGAATCAAAACTAAAATTACCTGTTATAATTTATAACAAAAGTTAATTATGATTTATAGATAAAATATACTATGAGGTCTAAAAATTTAAAATAAAAAATACTCCATATTAAATGCATTAAATTTCATATACCCCCTTATTAATCTACTCAAAAATTGTTTGTTTGTTTTTACATTGCGAAAATTCAATAATGGTCTTTTGATTCATGTAAAAGAATTGAGAAAGACTTGAATGTAAATTTTATTTTTAAAAAAATACTTAGAATATCAATTTCATTATTTGATTGGTAAAAAATAAGTTATTAGAAATAATTAATATGTTGAATTCATTTTCTCAAATGTGAAGAATTTGTTTTCCTTGAAATAAATTCACAAATCAATAAGCAAGTAAAACGTATTTTTTTCCTCAAATTTGGGGAAAAAAAAATCTCCAAAAAAAAAAAAATCCCAGTTAACCAAACAGTGTGAGGAAGTTGAATGCGTGTATTTGACAAGCAAATTGTGCAAATTTAATTAAAGAGGCTAATAATATGTTATATGTGCTTTAATAAGTTGATTTAAACAAAAACATGACCTGTTGGTCAAAAGATTATAATTAAAAGAAAAGAAAAAAACTTAACTAAACATTTAGATTTTGACAATTTAATGTCAAACTTATAATGTCATTTTTTAAGATGAAATTCCTAAACTGCAAGCTAGGATCTAAAAACTTTTATTCTTTATGAAGTCTGTTATATAGTTATATTATGACTCCCTATAGAAGTAGTGTACAATACAACAGCTTTAAGCCAGCAGATTTTTCCTGCGTCCTAAATAGCAATATAAATAAAATAAAACATGAAAATGAGGTTCTATGAAAGGATGTTGTTACAGGATATTATATATAGGAAACACACACAAGACACAACCTGAACTATGTACAGCATCTCTGCTGGGATGGGAAAGGGTTTTGAAGGGAACGTGGTAATCCGATATCCTCCTTTTACCTCATTTCCCCGATGACCCAGTCTTCAGTAGATGCGGTATCAGAATTCACTGCAAGTTGAATTCGCTTCAAGGGCGTTGCTGACACATCTGACAAATATTAGCAGATCTAACGTTGGCAAATGTGCAGTATTGACAAGACCAGTGTCCAGAATCGTCTATGTTTTTGGAACTGCTTGATGATCTGGATGTGGTTCCCCTGCTTCTGCTTCTGCTCCCTTTGCTGCTTAAGCATCCCAGGTTTTTTGAACTCGTTGCCCTGCTGCAAGCACCTCGAGGGTCCACGTCTGACAGACCGTTCTCTAAAGCTCGGACCAGGTTTTCAAAGTAATTTCGAGTGACACTGTCATATCATTGCTTTACAAATCAGATAGGCAGCTCAAAATTTGTATAAAGAATTTGACAGTATTCATCTTATAAGGGCGGGTTGATATCAATAATTAATACACATTGTTTGATATTCATAATTGATGTACACTTCTTCAATTGTTCCAGCTGTGTCGGGATAAATCGTATCATAGAAATGTTTGGGACATGCTTGGGATGTTGGGCATGCACACTCAAATCATGTCTAAGTGCATATTTGGCACATGGCAAGAACATTATTCACAGAAAATGTTCTTTGTGCCCATTCAGCATGTAGTTCAGATAGCAGTCCAACCATATTTTTTTGTAACTAATTTTTTCATAATGAAATATTGGAGATACAGAAAACTTCTGTTGGAATTACCTTGTTAGCCCTGCTAGCTTTGTGCGGAACTCATTGAAGTCTTTTGATGGACCATCTGCATTAAGGTATCTTTGGAGTTCCTTCTCGGCACATTGATGAAGCCGCTCTAACCCAGATTCAGCTTCACCTAAGGGATAAAAGAAAGATGCCTCAGTATTCAGTAAAGCAAAAAACAATGGAATTTTACATCTGTTTCCTAATAGAAGGAAATAGAGGACCTTGTAGATACTCGAAGAATTGCCTCTTAGCACGGTCATGCTCAGGTAAGTAATATCCATATGCATAAGTCCATTTTAGCACCCGTCTACATTCAACTATCTACAAATTAGGAGTGAAGCAATCAGCCAATCAGCAGTAATAAGTATTTTGGAAGAAAGTAATGGCATTCTTTATAGTATGCTCCTTTTAGTACAGAACTATCAATTGGCTAAATATGGTCCCCCCAATTATTATTATTGGAAAGAAATGATTCTTTACTATGGTTCTATTAACAGGAGTATTTTTGTCAAATTTCAAAATTCTGTCCAACCTTCAGACTTTGGACCATTACTATCCAACTTCCATTCTAGTTATTGTCCCAACTATTAGGATTATATCAAAAGTGATCTTTTCATTAGGGTTAACAACAGAAACCCCCAACTGAGGACCGTTTCTATACTAATTTTTAAAGTTGGGATACCAAATTGATAATTGGGGGTACTTAAAGTGCCAATAAGGTCCCCAGGAGGTGGCAATAAAATTGGGAAATCAATTCTAATAATATTTAGAGCTTACCTGCAGCCAAGCATCTATTATGAACTTCAACTGTGATTCAGGTTGACACTGTATCTCACTCAACTTCTCAAGCTGCACACGTAAATTGCCATGAACAATGAAAAACTTATGGAAATTCAAATGAAAGAGCAAGACAGTTTATCCTTCTCTCCCCCCTTTAACTCTTTTTTCATCTTACAATTTAGAAATTATTTGCATTTCAGAAATAGAAATATAGCCATGCCAGAATAACATATGCAAGGATGCCTTTCTTGTTTCTCCCCTAAAATTGAAGATCATTCATTTGAGCTTTAAGATATATAACCAGACACGGTTAGTAGAATTCATATCATGCTAGAAAGACCTCCAACACTCTAATCAGGAACCAACCGCAAATAGCCAAGACAGTCTAAATTGAACACTAATGAATTAACAGTTAGTTTCCTTGGGTTGAAAAAGACAATACATCTTGCACAGATTATTAGAAAGAAGAGAAGAAAGTGTATGCTTAAAAAGCTTGTATAATTTGGCATCATTGAAAAGATAATGTGAGAAGTGAAGCAGTTAGATTCACAGTGGTATAAGCAAATATTCCAGCACATAGTGAGGAGCTCTTCATACATGAACAGTTTGCATTTGCTGAAGATCTGCAAGGGCTTTCTGCCTAGACTGCAAAAAGAAGAGAAGACTTTAGATATTATGATATTGACAATTAACCATATACACATCTATAACAAACTAGTGTCAGTCACCCCCTGCCAACCCCCCAAGGTAATATGGAATGTTGAGTTGTTCATTATAAAAATATCTCCAATTTTACTATTTGTCCCTGCGTTATATAGTCATTATACACAAACAAATGTAGTAAATCATCAATAATTTCAGGTTTGAAAGATTTTTCCTTTCCAAACATCAAAAGAAGAATTCATTTTCCATTTCCAACTTCAAATATCACAGACGTTTGGCTATGAGCATAGTAAACACATTCATGAGAGAATTAAAACAAAGATTTCAAGAACCTCTACCTACCGATTGGTTGGTGGCCCATCTTTCATAGTAATGTGTATATCTTTCCAAAGAGTTTTTAGCCATCTCTCTTCGCTTTTCAGCATCATCAAACTGCAGCAAGAGATCATTATTGTTATAGAAATAGCAAATGTAGTAATGTACATTAATGAATTATATAAACTATAGAATCTTACTGCTCCGTCTTGTTTTGCTGATTCATAACGGTTGCATGCATAGAAGCCACCTGTCTTCTCACCGTGATCCGACCATGGACCTAGGCAGAGCCTGCAAGAGCATTTTGTTAGACTATGCTTTAGCAATAGGAAAAAACACTATTGTGAAGATAGTGCCATGGGCAAAGGAGTGTACCAAACTAAGAAAAAGGTGGCAAGCATTTTTTTTTGTGTACAGTTTTATGTGGCAAGCATTTGATCGTGTGTATCAAATATCAATTGTGAGATCCAATGGCTTCATATAGTTCATATGATTAGAAGACCTTATCAGGTGAGTAACAATGTGCTAATAACAGCAGGAGTTCATTGCCTCAAAAATAAATGAACTTACCAGCAAAACTCAAATTTACAGGGAGGGGTGCATGTGATGTGCATGCAACCTTGATTTTTTTCAATTGGCCGCTTGCACTTTGGACAGGGCTTAGAATTAGCTAAAATCCTGAAATATGATGCAAACAAAATGTTTCAACACGAGAAATTTAAATATGCAAATTCCAAAAGAAACTGCCATTTCAGTTTATCGATCAACAGTTAGGTAGAGAAAAAAAAAATGTAAAACATAAAAGATGATTGAATTGCTGAGCTCCAATTACCCTGTTATCAGTCCTATACTCCTATCATTACTCAGGCATGTGTTTTTAATAGAAAGAGCACTATGCTCATAACTGCAACTAAACCAAAGAAGGCAAAGAAGCCCTCCAAAAAACAGCAAATAAAACTAATAAAAAGAGGCAGTATCTTTAGCATTTCAAGGTCTTAAAATTTACGAGATCCTGGCAAACAAAAACAACTATGCTACTCAATCTTATCTGCAGTAACCATAGACTGCAGAAGAGAATAACAAACCTAAATTCCTAACCCTAACACAACTGCATTGTTTAACAGATTGGTGAAAAAAAAACC